ATGCAAAGCCTCGTAAAGCACCAGAAAGTTTATCTGGATCCAGAGGGCAATGGAGAACCACTGAAAGTTTTTAAGCAATGGCTGCTTCAGATTTTTACTTTAAACGAGTCTCTCTGGTCCTAAACAAGAGTCATCCATCACAAAGCAGATTCTCTTCCCCATTTCCAGTAAATACATATAATCACTGTAAAAGACCATTGTAACCTCCTAAAGGCTTTAAATTAAGTTCAAAAAGATTATATGAAACACACAGAAGGTATCTACAAATATGAAAAACTTTAAATGCAGAAGAAACACATGAGAATAGCCTCTTTAAGAAGACTTTTATTTATGGTAAACCTAACTGTGAAGTCATATTTTCCTCAATGTCTAAAGTTGAGTGTTTCCAATAACAATCTAAGAATTTTTTTTCAATACAGGAAAAAAAAGATAACACGCCTTTTTACAAGGGCAATGCCAATTTGACAGCTCCAGAGAGTCTGCCAAAATGAAGTCTTAAAAGTGGAAAATAGTCCATTAGGCTTCCAGAGTAAATAATCCAAAATACACAACACTAACTTTAGGATATCTCTTATTGCTTAAAGGAACCATTGTACCATTGATGTTTAAAATAGTTGGTTTTTTAATTACACCATACCAGCATGTTTTTCTACTATCACTTCAAAACACTTCTATTTCTGTATTTCCCTAAGCTTCTACAATGAAGGATTTTTTTACTCAGAAGAACAGTTAAATACTGATGTATTTGCTATAGGCTTTTACTTCACACCTACTGAAGATCTGAACCTGTCTAGAAAAGGTACACACTTTAGAGAACCAGCTGAGCTCTCCTTATACACTGAGAATTTTACAGCCATTCAATTACTGCCAATAATTGTGTTTCCCGACCTTTGCAGAGCAACCCCCCTTGACCACCCTGTGTGCAGAATCAGATAATCCACTATCACATTCTCATTCACAGGATATGCCAGACAGACCTGGTCTCACATAGAAAACCTACTCAAGCAGGTGACAGAGCATTTGTTTTTTATTTCCCTCACTCCAAAAAAAGATACTGTGATCTATAATCAGTAGCCTATTTCCACTGCTAATTTAATGGGTAAAATTGGATAATCACTCAAAACATTCTACCTCCATGCCCTAAATAAAATGCACTAGAGGCAAGCTCTCAAGTCCCAGATGGACCAGGTAGTTACAGACATGGGCAAGAGTCTTCTGACAGTTGATTCTTCCCCACAGATGATGTTTACCTCCATGATACAGATGCTGAGAACACAGACACACGAGACTAGTTCTTTACAAAATGGGAGGTTTGACCAGAATAAGCACTTATATTCCAGAAGAGAACTTTGGTTATTCTCTATTCTACTGAAGGGATGGGGAACCTTTTAAAGCTTTCAATGATACAAACAGCCCACTGTGGCACATATGCCATAGGTTTGCCAACACTATTCTATTGGCAACAACAACGAGATACCATTAAATACACAGAAGGCCCCAAATCCAGAACATTGGCAACAACAAATGTTGGTGAGGATGTGGAGCAACAGCAACTCTCACTTATTGCTGGGGGCGGGGTGCTGCAAATGGTCTGGCCACTTTGGAAGACAGCTTGGCAATTTCTTACAAAACTAAACATATTCTTACCATATAATCCAGCAACCATGATCCTATGTATTTACCCAAGTGAGGTGGAAAATTTTTCCACACAAAACCCTGACTGTGGGTGTTTATAGCAGTTTTACTCATAATTGCTAAAACTTGAAAGTAACCAAAATGCCCTTCAGAAGTGGATAAATGGTTACACTCAAACAATGAAATATTATTTAGCACTAAAATGAAACCCTAAAAGAGGAATTTTAAATGCATTTAATAAGTGAAAGAAGTTAGTCTGAAAAGGCTGCATATTATCTTATGCCAGCTATATGACCTCCTGAAAAAGGCAAAACTCTGGATAGAGTAAGACCAGTGGGTTCCAAGAGTTAGGGGGGATGAACAAACAACCAGAACACAGGATTTTGAGGACAGTGAAACTACACTGTATGACACCATAAAGGTGGGTACATGTCGTTATACATGTGTCCAGACCCCTACAATCCAACGGCAAAACCAAATATAAACTCCAGACTTTCGGTGGCAATGATGGGTCAACATGAGTCCATCAATTGTAACAAACGCCCACTCAGGTGCAGGAATGCGGGAAGGGTTGCCCCTGAGGAACAAGGAATGCACAGGAAATCTGGGTACTTTGTGCTCAGTTTTACTATAAACCTAAACCTGCTCTAAAAAGTAAAGTCTATTTTTAAAGGGGAGTACGGAGATCTCTTCTCCAGGGTGTGGCAATATGCCTTCCTGAAAGTATAGGAAAAGGAAAGATAACCATAATCACCTTTTGAGCTCACCACTTTGAAAGTTAATACAATTAGAGGAATGAATCAGAGTCAGGAAGACAAGTAATATGATTACTGTGCTATCTTCCCTTCAAATTAACTAAGAGTGAAAAACCCGGCAAGGTCTTCATTTAACTGAGTATCTACACCTTGTCCCAAAACTTCTGAAGCAGCTTACTACTAGCAAGGGCAATGTTTCAGTCAGACTTCGCCTTAATATAAACTTTGAAACAGTGTTCTTCAATAGATTCCTTACATTCACAGACCTATTTCATGGAGTGCACACATTTCTTCCCCGAAATTACAAAACCGTAGAGGTCAAACCTACCCCAAAACAATCTGGACCCTAGGTCAGTTCACAAAATTCTCAGGAGCGTGATGGAATCTCTTTTGTCTTTGTCATTTAGCTCATTAGCAACACCCGCCAAGCAGGAGGGACCCAGGAGAACCACAAGCACTTCTATTTGTCTCCCTGAATATACGAGATTAAGAAGAGCTGAGATGCTTCTGGCACTTGGGAGACTGCCATCTGATCAATTTTTTTTTGGTACTGGGGATCAAACTCAGGACCTTGTGCTTACAAGGCAGGCGTCGGTCGTTGGAACCATTGAGCTAAATCCCCAGCCCATCTGAACAATTTTTAAACTTTATTTGGTCATGCCACAGAACATTTCACCAAGTACATTTGGCTGGATGTCACCCTTAGTTGAGGGGTAACCTGTTAAGAAATAAAGCCACCCCTTTACACATACCTTGCACCCAGAAGGCCTCTGATCTTACACATCAGGAATGGACATGTTTGTCCCTACAAAGCCAACATGCTTTCATACAATTTACAGACCTACTTATAACATGGTCAAACAGATAACCCTTTCATAGTCTCTCCACACCCAATTTCTTCCTCCCAAACAAACAAAAAATCCTGAACTGCTCACTGTATGCAAGAGGCTAGAGATTCTGTGACCCTTAAGTTTTATTGCTTTGCATGGCTCACCATCTCTAAGGGACTACTAACCTCATTTATAACTCAACCCCTAAATAAATAGCCTCCACCAACTTCTCCCCCTTTCCAAAACCCACACAGCGGTTATCTCCCTTAGCCAAGAAAGCTGGAGGCTTAGAAGTGGTTAGCTCTGCAAATTCCTTCTCCTTCCTACCAAAAGGGCACATCAAGAACTTTACAGTCTGGAGATGCATTAAAGTAGGCCCAATTCCTTTCACCAGGACAGGATTCAAGCTGCCAAGTGTCTTTCTACATGTAATCAACTGCTATTTAAGTTGCCGATCACACTGAAATTGTGTCCAAAACCTGCTTTCTAAATCAAGAACGCCATATAGTTCTCTACGGAGTGGCACTGGAGGAAACACCTTACACACACTCTTCTCCCCTAAATAGTACTTTCTCCTGGGACAAGGGCATCCTAGATTTGTCCCACTTCATTTCCAGGGTGCGATCCTGAAACCCGCCCTAAATTCATTCCTCTTTCTCCACCTAATCACGTATTGTACAGCCACTCTGGCAACTTATCCCCTTGATTTCTTGACATTTTCTTTTCTGCTCCTGGCTGGGAAACTGTTTTGATCTGAATAGGGTAGTCTGTGTGGGGTTTCTGCATGTTAATGATGTGGAGCCAGCAGAGATGTTAGGTGAGAGCACAGTGTACTTTTTCTAGTTACATTTCGCCTCATCGACACTCTGGGAGCCTTTCTGAACGCCTGGTACACCAGGAGAGCGACCTACACATCTAATCTTACCCTCGCCTGCGGAGCACGGCGTGGGGGGGGGGGGCAGGGGGGTAGAAACATAACTGAAGGCCTGATCTCCTTCCTATCCAGACTCCTCCACTCCTAAGCACTCCACCAGCAGCGAAGCAAGCAGACGTAATCTTGCTCAGCAACAGTCACAGTGGCGACCCTCCACGCTGGTTTCAGCCCCCACGCTGTCCCAGCCGGTAGAAGATGCTGCACTGTCCCGACTGTACACCAGTCACCCCCTCGGGCCAAAGCAAAGGGCTTCTACCCGGAGGTAGGAGCAGCAGCTTGGGTACCCGCCCTTCTCTCTCGATCAAGGCCAGAAAACTCCACTTCCCGGATTCCTGGCCACTCTCTCCCGCCCCCTCCCCGGGAGATCCAGCAACGCCGACCCGATGCCAGCTGGGTGTCCAGCCCAGCTGCGCAGCCCCCAACCCCCTCCAAGCCAGGCCCGGGGAACAGATCCCAGCTTCCTCTCTCTTTCCTACACTCGTGTCCCCCACATTCTGGACGCATCCCTCAGGCACACTAAGACCGAAAAACTCCCACCCCACCCTCCCCTCCAAGCCAAGCCGCCAGCCTCCAGCCCTGCCTCGGAGGGGCCTCCTCCCCGGAGGCGGATGGGGACCGTGGGTGGCTGCTCCGGCAGCCTCCACCCGCGCCCCGAGAGGGTACTGGGCCCCGAGGAGATCAGACCGGAGTAGCCCCAAGGGACACCTCCCTAACCCCCCGGAGGCCAGCCGGTCTCCCCAGGGAGTGGTCGCTGCGGGTTCCGGAGTCTAGGGGGAGTCGGGGTGCAGGCCCTCCCGGGGGCGGGCGGAGGTCGGCTCGGCGGCGCGACCCCCAGGGGGCACTCACGATGGTCACGCTGGCTTTGCGCAGGTCGCGGTTCTCCTCCTGCAGCGCCTTGCACTTGAGTTTGTAGGTCTCCAGCTCGATCTTGAGCACCTTGTTCTCCTGCTGCAGCGAGGCTAGGCGGTTGGTGAGCTCCTCCAGGCGGAACGGCGAGATGACAATGCCCCCCGACTTCCCACCGCCACCACTGCCCCCGCCACCGCCGCCGCCGCCTCCGCCGCCCGAGGTCGAGGAGCAGGACGACTGCATGGCGGTCGAGCCGCCGCTGTTGCCCCCCGCCCCGTCCGTGTCGCTCTCGCTGGCGCTGTCCGCCATGGCCGCGGCGGGCTGGGGAAAGGAGGAGGAGCAGGAGCGGGGAGGCGGCGGCGGCTGCGAGGGCTGGGCTGCGAATGAGTGGGCGCCGGGCGAGCACTGGGGAGCGCCGAGCTGGGCGCCTGGCACCAGGGCGCAGACTCGGAGCGGCGGCGAGAGAAAGAGAGGGAGCTTCCCGCTGCCAAGGGACCTCCTCTGCCAGAGAACAGAGACCCCGCCCGGACTCGGGCAGTATTGCACTGAGGCTCGCTCCAGCCGGGCCTGGCGCGCTCGCTAGGCCGCCCTGCAAGGCTTGTCCAAAGCTCGGGGACCTACCCGCCGCCGCCTGGCGACTGCAGGCCGGCTGGGGAGGCGCGGGCCCCGCGAGTGCAGGAGAGCCGGCCCGGCCCGGCCCGCTGGGCAGTCCCCAGTCGCCGGCCGCACGTGCTCCCTGGAGGGCCTCCGAGCCCCCCAACCTAAGCCTGTAGGCGCCAAGCCTCTTCCGTGCTCGCACCCGCTCCGGGGAAGAGGAAACCCAACGCCCCACCAGCTCGGCAGGTGCTGGGGACACGTGGAAAAGTCAGCCTGGCTCGGGCATCCAACCCCAGCCGTGTGGTGGCCCCATCTTCCGCAGACTGTGTTTGCGCGTGTCTCCCTCTATCTGTTTCACGCATACACGCAGTTGTATCTTTTCCGGGAGCAAAGTGCTGGACTGGGAAGCTTTGGATATAGCTGAAGAAACAGAAAGTTCCTCTGCATTGGGCTCGAGTGGGCTGAAACAGCAACAGCCACAGGTTAGCCTTGTTAAGAAAGAATTCGCAGAAAGGACACACCACCGCCCTTCGAATAAGCTCTTAAAGCACCCAGCGCACTGCTGTTTACATAAGGTGCAACTTTTTTTCTTTTCCTCAGCATCTCGCACAAATTTCCAGCACATGTCCTGCAATAGGATTAAGACACATTTGTCTAGTCAAAGAGAAATATTTTGTGAAAGAGTTGAAACACATCGAAAATGTGTAACTGCAGTTACCCAAAGTGACTGCAGGCGTAACATCATGCTATACAAATGGTCTTGATTAAGTGGGAGAACACTGTGCTGTCATCTTGTTAACTTGCAGAAAACTCCAGTAGGTAAAAATAAAACATTAATTACTCTCATGTGATACAATTCAGAGTCCCAGCTTTGAGGCATAAGATAGTCAAATACTTTCCTCTCTCCCCAAGAAAAGCTTGCCGGAAATAGGCCCAGCAGGTGAGATGGTTCTAGACACTTCATGCTGTTGACACAAAACAGTTTTCACTTATGTATAAAAATTGGAACGTGAAACTGACCAGACTAGTTTTATTATCCTAGATTAGTCAACGGAAGAGGAAACACGTGGAAACAGAAAGTAGAAAAAAAAAGTTTTCTTATTTTGAACTGTTGCAAAGGTTTAGAAAGTGTTAGCAGGAGTGAAGAGTTGTCTTTCATGATTTTTATTCCCACTCCACCATTATCTGTAAACCTAAATTTGATGTAGTGATTAAACTGTTACTTGGTGCCTCATAGAAACTAGTACCTCAGAATAAACACACCCAATGTTCCAAATTACAGCATCTTTTACCAAGATGGCTGCTTCTAGCACAGTTCAGAAATGCCAACTGCACTGAAACCGCAAATTTCTCTTGGGTATTTTTAGTGTAGTGCTAGAGGACTTTTGAGCTCAGTCATTGTTGGTGTTAACATAGGAAACAATGACAAAAAGCACTTGAGATACATATATAGATAGAGAAAGAGACCCAGTCTTTCTTTTTCTTTTTTTTTTTTTTTTTTTTTTTGGTACTGGGGATTGAACTCGGGTCCTTCCACTTGCGAGGCAAGAGACCCAATCTAATAATTTTGTTACAAGTGATCCAGTTAATAGTGAAACTTATTTCTCTCCCACATTTCCTTTCCAGATCTGTTACATGAGACAATCAGCTCATTGAGTTGGAAACAGCTTCTGAAAACTCGCTTGCTGGGTGAAATGGAAGAGGAAAGCTAACAGAAGAGCACCACAGAAGGAAAATCAGATGTAACAGCATTCTTTCCACTTTATTCAGCTCTGTGATAGAGTGAGCCTGACTTCCATACTTCACAAGTTCTATTGTTCCCTTCCCCTAGTATTTCAAAACTTCCACTTTTAGAGTTTATTGCAGCAGGAACATTCCTTGGAGGCAGAGCAGGGGGCAAATTAGCTCTCTTAGCTTTATCACTGAACTAACTGCTTTAGAAAGCAGCCTGAAAGCCTGAAGTCAGCAGAGGGGTGGAGTTTGAAGCGCCCGGCTTTCTTAAAGGGCCCACGTCATGGTAAGCTTAAGAATGTATTGGTCTTCAATAGGATTTGCAGGAAATCTGCATTTTGACATGGTACTTGTAGGCAATAATCCTGTTTGGAAGACTTTAGAGGAGAAGTCATCTTCTAAAGCTTCCCTGCTGATACAAATGGGAATAAATTGGAGAATTTTTTTTCACCGTGGTTTTTATTGTTATTGCAAAGCAGAAGCGTGTCTAATTTTCTACTTCTTCTAAAAGTGATTTCCCTTATAAACAGACCATTTATCACAACACTAGTTCAGTAATAGCATTACAATGGAAACACCAGTTACAAAACCAATAATATCACTATAAACTCCTTCTCAGCTTTCATGGGGAAATGAATCCAAAGAATAGATAGTAGTATGTAATGCCCAGAAGAAGGGCCAAATTTAGATAATCACCTCTATTGGAAAAATAATGAAATTTAGCTTTGCCCTAAATTTAAATCCCAAAATTTTATGAACAAAGGAAAAAGATATCTTGTAGTATAATTGCAAGGCACAACATTAAAATGTTTTTCTGAGGCCATATTCTCAGTGATATACTCTGTAGCTTAAAAATTTAGTGTTATGAATAATAAAAAAAACCAGCATATATCAGGGAAATTTTTTTTATTTTTTTTGGTACCGGGCATCTAATTTGGGACCTTGCACTCACTTGTGAGGCAGGCACCGTAACCACTGAGCTAAATCCCTAGCCCAGACAAATTTTTTTTTTTGGTACCAGGGATCGAACTCAGGTCCTTGTGCTTGTACAGCAGGCAGCGAAACCACTGAGCTAAATCCCTGGCCCTTTTTTGTTAAATTTTTAACAGCTAGAAATAAATTGCTATACACAACTAGTTATGTTAATATCAGAGTCCAGTGATTTTATTCCAAATCTAGATGGATTGAGTGGCTTCAGTATCCACTGTTATGTTTTTTAGAAGAATTAGAGGGAGCTAAGATAGAGCTGGCTATCACAGTGCCAGAATCTGGGTGGAAACATAGAATGTGCCCCTGTGGGACTATCATTTCTTGAAAGGTAGTTAATATTTATATACCTTTAATTTAGAACCTGTGTCTAGTCTCTGGGTCTAGCAAGGAGTTTCTCAATATTTGTAATATCAACACTTGGGACTATTAAATTTTTTTGTAGGCAGTGGTTGTGCACATTGTATGTTTAGCAGCATCCCTAGCCTTCACCCACTAGGTGCCAATTGTACACTACCAAGAATTTCTCCATACATTCCCAATATCCCCTGGGGGACAAAATAGCCCAATTGAGAACTGCTGATCTTACAGGTCAATTATTTTGCAGGTTAAAGGCAGTCCCATTTGGGATTGGCTTTTCTGGCAACATATTGATTACAAACCACTGAGTCATCAAGAGAATTTCTCTCTCATTTCATATTTCCAGTGTCAACTAGCCAAGAGATCCTGGATCCAAACAGCCACATCTACTGTTCTTACTATTGTTGTCTTTAGCCACTCTGTTTCTTTAACATGCTTTTTCAATATATTGCACTTGTTAATGTTAAGTAACCTTGGAAATGCAACATCTTACCCTGCCCAGGAATCATGAATACAAGATTAATTACATATCTCATCTCTATCACTCATCATTGGTTCATAGTAATCAAAATCATTTTTACAGATGCCAGTCTGAGGAATTAAGTCCTCAGCTAAAGTAAATCAGAGGAGAATCAAGTAAGGATTTCAGCAAAAAAATGAAACATCCGACCTATGTGTCTGGAGATTTGGCAACCTGTAAGACCTAAAATTTGTTCTGATTCAGACCACCTAGAATTGCTCACCAAAAAATGCTTTTAAAAATCCTATTTACTACACAGAAAAAATAAAAAGTAAAATCTCAGGCTATAGTAACAAAGAGAAAAATGAAACAGCACAAATGAGCATCAAACATAGATTCTATAATATATAGAAATGACAATGAACAAATTACAGCTATGTGAAGGAATATAATAAGTGAGCCTCACAAACATAATGATAAAGGAAGCCAGACACAAAAGAGGCTATGCTTTGTCTTACGGCTTGTATCTAGATGTCCCCCCAAAGCTTCCTGCGGTCAGAGGTGGAGCTTTTCAGAGGTAGCTGGATCTAGGGTATGTGAATACGTATTAAGGGTGTGTGACATCTGGATCAGTCCCCTAATTGGATTAGCACAGCTCTGGGCATGGCTAAATGGATTTACTGAGGAGGGAAGATCAACCCTGAGTGAGGGTGGCACCAATCAATAGGGTTGTAGCATTGATGGAATATAAAGAAAGAGAACAAAAGCAGGCTCACTGTTTCCTGGCTGCCTTGCCATGGACTGTTTCTCCTCTGCCACACCCCTCTGCGGTGCCACCCTGCCTTGGAGCCAGCTGACTATGAACTGAAACCACTACAAACTGTGAGCCAAAATAAACCTTTCCTCCTTTCATTTGTGGGTGTTGGATATTTTGGTCCCAGCAACAAGGAAGTAACCAAGACACTTTGTGACTGTGTTTACATATAATTCAAAAATATGCAAAGTTAATCTACACTGTTAGAAGTCAGAATAATGATTTTCCTTAAGAGATTGTAGTGTTCTCTCTCTGGGTGCTTGTTACATAGGTATGTTCACGTGTGAAAAATGTTGAGTTATGTGTGTTCTTATGATTGGTGAGTTCTTCTGTATGTATGCTGTACTTCAATATGATGTATAAGTCAAAGAAAGGAGAGAGAAAGGGAACTAAAAGCCATAGAAATAAGTCTGGTAGTTGAATCTGGAGCAGCAGCATTGCAGATCTTGTTAACTATGAACTTTGTTTTAATTTCCATCAAGGACAGGACTTGAGGCCTTGCAGCTATATGTGGCAGGGAGGGGTAACTAAGGTAACCATAAGATATCAGAACTATTAAAAAATTACACTCATATTGAACAGCTGAACTAGAAGAAAGAATTATTGTCTTCTTACCAGCAAACAAGTAGACAACAGGAAGCCTGTGTGCCTTAGATTTTTTATTTAAAAGTCTACATGGAACAGCTATGATCTAGACTCAGACTTTGAGTTAGAGGGTTTACATAAATACTTCATATACCTACATGGTCCAGAAATCTCCAAGATTACATACTGTCTTGAAAATTGGCCTGGATAGGAACTCTTTGGGCTATAGAAATGTTCCATACATTGGATGCACAAATGTGTACATTTATCAAATCTCATCAAATGTATTTATAAAGGGTGAATTATATTCTATGTAAAATATAACTGAAAAAATAAATTGACTAAAAAAATAGCTGGTATTGGAATGATAATATCCTCCACCACCTAACAAAAACAAGCACAATTTCATTCGAGAAGGACACAGTCTCATCATGAAGATGGGATTACAACTGAAAATTAAAAGATACAAAGATAAATAATCCATTTTGAACAAAAATTAGCAAACAATAAATAGCAGAATGGTATTCTCAAACTTTCAGTTAATATGAGTATTGGATAGAGTTGGGTTGGGTAAAATTAAGTATATTTAAAATAGAACTATTAAGAAATAAAAAGCATAGGAAAGAAAAACATAGTCAGACTTAAAAAACAGAACAGTCAGAATTAGAAATTAGCCAAGTAGAATATCTAGAAATTAAAAATACAATTTGCTAACATCCACTACCCAATGATCAGGAATATACCTATGGTTTTAAAAAAAAGTTTATTCGGTTTCCTACAGCAAAAGAGGATACACACCAGAGGAATTATGGGATGAGATGATTGTAACATTTTCACTTTAACAGGGTGATTCTAAGAAAAGTTTGAAAAGCAGGGGTCAGTTGTAGATCAGATCTTAACAAGAAGTGGAGAAAATCTGGTAATTGAATATCCTGATAAGTTTTATATAAGAAGCAGGAGTATTAGAATTATCATTGCAAAAAATTATCACTGATGAAGTCATTCGTATTAATCAAGAGTGGGATGCTTTGACTACAGATTGTCTTTTCTCTCTTGTTCTACCACCAACATGGTGTGGACCTGTCTGGTCATTCCTTTTATTCTTTTAGTATTATCTTTGTCTTAGTATCTACATTGCTGAGACAAAATACCTAACACCCAAAGATAAAGGAGGAAAGGTTTGTTTCAGCTCATAGTTTATAGAGGTTTCAGTCCACAGTTGACTGGCTCCAAGGCAGGGTGGCATGGCAGGGGGGCAAGACAAAGGAGAAAAAAGTCCATGGCAAAGCAGGCAGAAGGCAGCAAGCACCAAGAAACAGGAGCAAGCCTCCCTTTCCCTTTTATCCATCCAGGCCACAACCCTTTTGGGTGGTGCCATCCACACCCAGGTTGGGCATTCCTGTTATCCACACCCAGAACTATAATAAACCAATTAGTGGACTAATCCAGTTCCACACACTTTTAATCCCAATATCACACCCTTAATCCACATTCACATGTCCTAGATCTAGCCACCACCAAAAAGCCCTACCAATGACCACATGAGGCTTTGGTGGGACATCTAGATACAAGGCATAGCATCTTCTTTCAGTCAGGAATATAATGGCCCAACTGGCATCTGCTATATGAATAATTTTTTATTTTATTAAGTGACAAACATTTGAAACCCTCACAACACAATGAACACTATTAGCAAGCACGTTATAATAGATATATGTACACTCTGTACCAAATGATTATAGAATAAAAATTCTTTTCAGGGACAAATATACCAAAATTGAACTGAGCCACAAAACATGTTCCAACAAAGAACATATCATACATAGGCACAGGCAAAATGCTTTAGTACATTTTGTATATGAACTAGCTTAATCCTCACAACCACCCTGTTTGGGTGGGCACTATAATTATATTATTATTATTATCATCATTATTCCCATTTCAAAGATGAATTAATGAGATAACTCAGGCTAGTATAAATTAAGAAAATTATTCAAACTCACCAACTGGTAATTTGGAAGATGAGATTCAAACTAACAGTCTACAGATGTGCACTTCTCTTCTTGGTTTTCTTTGGGGTGGTTGTTTGTTTGTCTGTTTATTTATTGTTTTGTTTTTTGGTGTAGCACTAGTGATAGAGCCCAAGGCCTCATACATCATGCATGGTAGATATTACATATAATGATTTTTCATATGTATGTGTATATATATATATATATATATATATATATATATATGAATAAT